GGTTTCCCATCTGTTGAGGTCCATTCCTAAGGCCTTCAGATCCCGCTTGCAGGTATCCTTGTATTGCAGCTGTGGTCTCCCTCTGGGGCAATTTCCCTGCACTCATTTCTCCATACAGGAGAGCTTTTGGAATCCGACCATCAGCCATTCTCACAACATGCCCAAGCCAACGTAGACGTCACTGTTTCAGTAATGTATACATGCTAAAAATTCCAGCTCATTCTAGGACTACTCTATTTGGGACTTTGTCCTGCCAGGTGATACCAAAAATGCGTCGGAGGCAAGGCATATAGAAGGTGTTCAGCTTCCTCTCTTGCCGTGCACGAAGGGTCCAGGACTCATTATCATGAATAAATTTGAAAATTCACAGTGGAGTTTATGATTTTATAATGATGTTGGGTTGGTTTGCATCTCCTCCTTTCCTTCTTTTGAGTTTGCTTCTTTTTATTCCAGGTCAACCTTCCAGAGACTTTCTACTGCAGGGTAGCCTATAAATTATTTCTCTGCATGTCTCCCTAGGAACGGCCACAGCTCAGTGAGTTGGAGGGAGTTGACTGCACAACCAAGGTTGGAAGTTCGAATTCCCACTGTGCTCCCAGGGAGAAAAGCCAACTGAGATCACTTGGAGGGAGTGTGCCTGATGGGGTTACGTGCCCTACCGCCGCTGTGGCTTGGGTGGTGCTGCGCAATGGTTCCAGCCCATCACCGGAAGGGGGGAGGGAACTTGTAAACTGCTTCTGCGTAGTTTATACCTAGAAAAAAGCCTGGGGGTTTCAGAACCAACTTGATGGTGCATCATTGTTACTTCTGTATACTAATCATACACTAATCTAAGAATAACAACTAAAGTATTTAAGCAACATTTTAATGCACATTTGTGTCTGTTGAGATCCGAAGTAGCAAACTATGGGTCTTAGTGTTTCCAGATTATCTTTCCTGACCACTGGTCATACTGGCAGTAAATGATGATGGGGGCTGGAGTCAATCATCAGTAAGGCCACAGCTTACTTGTTCCTGGTGTGGATGATTTTTTAAAAATAATCTTTTTATCCTCTTAGAAGGAATGCTACCTCACTCGCCTTCTTGCAACTTCATTTTTCTGTTGTAGCTACAAGCTGTTCAGACGTTTAATGAGCAATGTGAAATATAAAGCTAAAAGCCACACATTGTTATCTCATATCTATCCCATTTATTACAAAACTAAGGGAAAGTTAGTGCCATAATACATACAAAACCTTGGAAGTACGTACCGTTTGTGTTCTCCACTGAGGGGGAACCAGAAATGGCTCCAACAGAAACTGATTCCTGATTTAATACCTGAAAATTCAAGACGGATCATTTCGGAGGCCTCTGAGAATATTTGGCATGGAAGACCCTTTCTGTGATTTAAGGCATTGTGGATAAAAGGATGTCTGGTCCCCCTCCCGTCACGGATCTGATGAAGCATTAGTGTTCAGTACCTTTTTTTTTTAAGAACAAAGCACCAGAGGGAATCCTACCCCTAAAAGATACTTAGAAAGACAAACTGTGCTAGTAAAACATTATAAACTAGTGACGAGCAATACGATGGTTCAGTCAAATCTTTAGAAATAGTAGATCCGATATGGAACAAATAATGCACATTTATAGTAAACAGTTCAACAAGTACTTTTAGTTAAGTAGAGGGGGGTAGATTTGTGTTTTTGAAACTCCCAACTCCCAGAATTCCCCAGGCAGATTTCTATTCTAGAAGAAAGACAGGTACTGCCCGGGGATTCTGGGAGTCGTAGTCCAAGAATACAATTCTGTCCCCATCTATTTGTAAGAAAAGGCAGAAAAAAGTATCAAGAATTACCTAGGGCGGAGGATGTGATTCCCCAACATACTCTCAAAGACTAGTACATATAGAATGCCACGTTAGCATTTTGCAGGGGAAGGAACAAAACAGGCAAGCAAAATAGGTCCCACATTATAAACATGAGCACATCAATAGTACAAAGATGAAGGACAAGATAAACAGCATGATTAAGGAATGTATACATTGAGCAAAGGAAGAGGGGGAGGCTGGTTTTAAACATGATCTTTTCTGCCCCATTTCGTAGCATCCAGCCCTGACCATCCATGCGCAATCCATTCGTGTTCACTAGTGTCATCGTCCATGTTCAGATAAAGCACTGGCTCTTTTTAAAGAGTGCTGAGCAACCACTGCAAGGGAGAGGAAGAAAAACGGCAGGTTAGAAGAGAAGCACATGGATTTGTCACTCACACAAAGAAAGAAAAAGCCAGCTGCACGTTGTTCTTTGCATTGAAGAAACATCATCATTACCCAGATGAGATCCATTGATAGACCTGTTTGCACTTGTTCATGTGAATGGCACTGGGTAGAGATGGGCATAAAACGAACCAGAAACCAAAAAATCCAACAAACCAGGATGCTCTGTGATTCGTTTCACAACTCGGTTTGGGGGTCCTGTTTGGTCGAAGCAAAATGAAAGGCTGAACCTTCCTCCCTTTGGTGTTTCGTTTGCTTCGGCAAAACAGGATGTCCGTTCCCCTTCATTTCTCTAGGAGTTCATCACAAGCCACCCGTTTTCTGGTCCATGACCATGTCTAGTTCTCCGAGAATGGATACAGCCAGGATTTCCTACCAGGACCAGCGTAATTCCGTCGTCTGGCCCATCATGACAACCAACCTGCAATTTAGATCCATATAATTTGTTCAATTTATAATCTCACGCCAAAGGCAGGAAATTAAAGCTGAAAGAGAATGGCTTATCTTAAGCTCCCCAGTTCATGGCAATATTTATCACAAGAGGTAACCTTTGCTAGCTCCCACCAAAGATCTGGGGAAACAGTCCCTAAAACGCAATCCTGTGATGAAAGAAGACACTTTAGGAAACGGAGAATCACAACCCCGTCTCCAACTTCGGAAAAGTCTCAGACAACGACAGTACGGTCGCAGGTTTTCTGGTCTGGATGCCACCCAGTTATGTCAGATGAACGTTCACCCGGCTCATTCTACATCCGGGCGATGCAGAATTTCTAAGCCTAGGAAAACTCAACTCTGCAATTTCATTGGAAGGTGACTAAAATAAAGAAAATGCAACTTAACCTGGATTCAAGAGAGGTTAGGTTTGATTAGACTCAACACTCAGTTCAGCAGCGGGGGCACGTTGCCCTTCCCGTTTCTTTGAGAAAGGGCCAGTTCCGCTAAGTCAGGCACTCGGTCCTCGTTGGCGGTGGAGGCTGGGAGGGGGGATTGCTGGGCAAAAGAACAAAGAAAAAAGGTGGGAGAAAGAGGAATTGGGACTCCGGAGAGACTGGCAAAGGAACCAGGCTGCTAAGTCAGGCACTAAGTCAGCCACTCCGGAGAGACTGGCAAAGGAACCAGGCCAGGCGTTTGCTTTAGATGACCAAAGCACTGAAAGAAAGAAAGAAAGAAAGAAAGAAAGAAAGAAAGAAAGAAAGAAAGAAAGAAAGAAAGAAAGAAAGAAAGAAAGAAAGAAAGAAAGAAAGAAAGAAAGAAAGAAAGAAAGAAAGAAAGAAAGAAAGAAAGAAAGAAAGAAAGAAAGAAAGAAAGAAAGAAAGAAACCAGGGCTTCCCTTTCCTTGGAAATGTTCATTTTTTAAAAAAGTTGTACTGATAGAGTAACTTGCAGATTTGAAACAGTAAAAACCAGTCTCTCTTGAAACAGGTTCTATTCGCTCTTAGCAGCCAGCTGTAACCATGGTCCGCTGGAATGAACCCACCGATCTAGTCTGTTTTTGGAAGCTAAGCAGAGTTGGGACTGTTTAATACTCAGTCCCATCTGTTTAATGGTCATTCCTGGGACCTATAGGCAGGGCTAAAAACCAGCAAGATCCAGGGTCAGTGAGAGATGATAATACTAGACAAGATAAAGGACTAAAATGAAAGAGACTTGTTAGTAAATTGTATTGGGATCTTCATGGCTCTGGACTAGCTTGGGGCAGGCGGGTTAGAACTAATGTAGTCTATGGTATTCCGAGATAAGTATAATTGTTGTTGTTTAGTCATTTAGTCGTGTCCGACTCTTCGTGACCCCATGGACCAGAGCATGCCGGGCCCTCCTGTCTTCCAACAGGTATAATGGTCCAGTTAAATAGAGTAGTGCTGGCTGGATAGCTCAAGTATTTGCTTGGAGGCAAACGTTGGGGGTTCGATTCCCCATACTGCCTCCCTTGAGAAGAGCCAGCCTCCCTGGGTAGCCTTGGGCCAGCTGCACAGTCCCAGGGTGCCCCCTAGAGGAAAGGAAAGGTAAAATACTACCTGGAAAACTCTGAAAAGCATTGACTTAACGGCATATGATGATGACTAAACACAGGAACTGGCATTTCAGTTCAGAATTGTGCAAACGGCATTTGTTTCTTGTATCAGAATTTAGGCTCTTATGCTGGCATTCTCTATCTGCAAGGTGCTCTGTTTAAGGGTGTCGATGTCATGATTATTGAGCCAATTCATATGTAGACATAGCTCCGTTCTGCATAATCTTGTCTACTGAACTCCAGCCACCCCACATAGTTTCTCCTTGGAGGTCTCAGTTTTTGCCATTTCTTGATCTGGCTCCATTTCCAGTTCTCCTTTTCCTCCAGTGGGCTCAAGGCAATACACCTGTTTTTTCCTCTTCTTCAACTTATCTTAAGAATATGCATGAGAAGTAAATGACTGGCCCACACCATCCTGTTAGGGTTAAAAAATGACTCCCTAGGCAGCTTCCAGTCGCATACAATATAAACAATAATATGCAAAAATAAAACCTGAACGCTAAACATGAAGAACAAGCAGCGACACTGAACACATAATCTGCCCTGGTAAAAACACTCTGAGCCCATAAATAATTACCGTACTTTTCTGTGTATAAGACTATAGATAAAGGTAAAGGTTCCCCTTGACAATTTTTGTCCAGTCGTGTTCGACTCTAGGGGGCGGTGCTCATCCCCGTTTCCAAGCCATAGAGCCAGCGTTTTTGTCCGAAGACAATCTTCCGTGGTCACATGGCCAGTGCGACTTAGACACGGAATGCTGTTACCTTCCCACCGAGGTGGTCCCTATTTATCTACTTGCGTTTGCATGCTTTCGAACTGCTAGGTTGGCGGGAGCTGGGACAAGCGAAGGGCGCTCACTCCGTCGCATGGATTCGATCTTATGACTGCTGGTCTTCTGACCTTGCAGCACAGGCTTCTGCGGTTTAGCCCGCAGCGCCACCACGTCCCTTGAGTATAAGACTATACTGTTGTCTAAAATCTTTACAGACTAAAAATTGGGGGTCATCTTATACATGGAAGTAAGCTGACGAAAGAACAAAAATAAGCGGAGGGGAAAGCAGGGATCAAAGCAAAGAAAGAGCTTTGATCCCTGCTTTCCCCTCCTTTTGCTAAGCCCCAGTTAGATTTCTTAATTTCGGGTTAGAAAAGTGGGGGGTGTCTTATACATGGGGGCATCTTATACACAAAAAAATATGGTACAACAAAATGCATAAAATATAACAACACAGTACAGTCTTGTTTAACAGAAAACAGCAGAAAAGGTTTCGAAAGCTTAGATGCAACATATCCCGTTGGGAAATCAGTTCCACAAACATGAGGACAGTGGTGGAAAATACCCTCTCTGGTGTTCCCACAAAGAGATATGAAGAGGTCTTTGAATGGTGATCTCACAGCATGGACAAGGTGGCCTAGTGGTTGGGTGTTCTTCAGACAAGTTGATCCTAAGCAGTTTAAGGGTTTCGAAGTTGACAAAAGTGATCGGGCCTGGAAACGCAGCGGCAACCCACACATCTTGTTTATTGGGGTCATCATCTGTTTCAAACCCCTACCTCTCCAACTAATACGGCAGCTGGTGCTATTATGCACCAAATGACATTTCCGAACCATCTTCCAGGGCAGCCCCAGGCACAGGGCGCTACAGTAATCTAGCCAGGATTGTACTAAAGCGCAGCTCACTGCGGAAGGTTCCATTCCAAGACATTCAGTTGAGCCCAGTGCCTCTGGTCTTTTCTGAACAACTTAATATACTGCCCCTCTGACCCCACCACTAAAGCCATGTTGCAAAGAAGAATTTTAAAAATTATAACAAAAAAAGAGAGATTATGCCTCTTCATATGTTCCCCAAAGGGTTTCCAACCCTCTAAATCCATTGAGCCATTTTTATAACTTGACCAGAGTCCTTGCCTCTTACAGAATTCTAGCCAGGAGCCTTCATACCCCGTGTGTTTATGCAGCTGGGCTTGAAAGCTGTTGAATGCTCCAGGTAAGAGTACAGGAAGGGGCTTAAACTATCTGGAGGCAATGTTAGGGTTTACATAAGGGACTCGTCAGCAAATGGCAGATGTGAAGGTCACTGGAGAAGATCTGAAGGGCGAAAGCCAGGGGGTCCTTGCTCACGTGGAAGTACACTTCAGCTGAGTATTATCAAGAGGGATGACATGAAGGGCTCCAGGTGGAGTTGACTATGGAAAGTGTTGGGAAACTCCAGCAGGTCCACATGCTGTAGCCAGATTCTTAACTGGGGCCGGACACAGAGAATGGGTCATTCCCCTGTTACAGCAGCTCCACAGGCTGCCGAGCCACTTCCGGGTACAATTCAGAGTGCTGGTTTTAATCTATAAAGCCCTAAATGGCTTGGATCCAAGCTACCTAAAAGGCCACCATCTCCTTTAAGAGCCTACATGAGTCTTAAGATCATCAAAAGAAGCCTTTCTCTCAGTCCCCATCACCCTCATAGCCATGTTTGATGGGGACACAGGAGAGGGCCTCCTCTGTGGCTGTTCCCAGACTTTGGAACTCCCTCCCACTGGAGGCCTGGCTGGCTCCACCTTTGCTGCCCTTCCGCAAGCAGACCAAGACCTTACTCTTCCGGCAGGCCTTCCTTTCCATGACTGGCTCACCAAGGGGATTTTTTTTTCTTACGGGGTCATTTTATTCTGTGTCTTAATTGTGTTTTTAATCTTGCTCTTATTTTGAGTTTTAATATGATATTTATTTAATGCTTTTTAAATATTGTAATGCTTTATTATTTGGTTATTAACTTTGTTTCTTTTAATACTGAGAAAGAAAGAAAGAAAGAAAGAAAGAAAGAAAGAAAGAAAGAAAGAAAGAAAGAAAGAAAGAAAGAAAGAAAGAAAGAAGAATGGATGGATGGATGGATGGATGGATGGATGGAAGG